TTAAAATTTCTTTTCGGTCACAATGTAAGATAATTAATATTAACTATTACTTTTTTATATATATTATTACATAAAATGTTTCAAACTCTCATTGTAAGTAAAAAATGTATTATATTTCCACTTTATGCCAATAATAACACTTTTCTATACGATAGAAGACGTAGGAAGTCTAAAGAATTAAGCAATTTTCTTATCCTTTTTCATTTATCTTTGTATATCACTTAAGCCGCAGGCTCCATTAACCTGCAAATATAAAACTTAAATGCAATAAATGTGACCAAATTGAATAATTCAACAGCCGTAGATAATTCTTTTCCCACGTCACATGTACTCGTATCTTGTCTTTGGAATTTCAATTCAATTAAAAAGTACATGGAATAAAAGTCCAAAATAATCCATAATACCGGCACTGATAGCATATAGCACATAGCACATTTCACACATATGAGATATTCTTACAACTAAACGGGCTGTGATGAAGAATTCCAAATAAATTTGCAGGACAAACATTTTCCTTGCTTAATCTTTCGCTTGAACTTTATTTTCCACTGCCACTGCCACTGCCACTCTCACTCCAAATCCTGTAAATATTTTCTTTGCTTTTAAAAACATTGTCGCGGAAACATTTTAACATTTTTTGTATCCTTCCCTTATGATTTTCTCCTTTTCTACGTTTTTGAAACTCACGTTTCATTTATTTTCCTAAAGTTGAACTTCAACACTTTACAAACTCCGTGCGTACTTAAGGATTACAAAGGAAAGCTCGTATTAACTGTGACGGTAAATTGTTGTTGCCAACTTTGTCTTCTTAATGCCGTGGTACTTATAGAAAATTCAATCTCATCTCGTATGTGTCGGCTAGAATGTGAGTGTTAGTGTGAGTCTGTGTTGGCTTAATAAAAAGATGGCGGCTTACTTCAACTTCAAACACTTTGTCCTGCTCTTCACAGCATCTTAATGTGTTGTCATTAAAGTGAATGTGTATAGTATAAGGAATTATAGAGTGCTTCTCGTACTACACTGAAGATGCATCACTGTAACATTTTTGCGGTTTGTTTAGAAGCAACTTTTACTGTGAATATCCCCTACAAATGTACAAAAGAAAAAAATAGATTAATATTGCTAATATGAAAAATTAAATGCTTTATTAAAGAGGAACAGTAATTTTTGATCTTCTTTCTGGATTACTAAAAACAGAAGTAATTCATTTTCTTACGTCTCTGAAAAGATATTTAAAGTGCCACTCTGTAATGTATTCAAGGGAAACCTTTTGTTTACAGCAACGAAAGTGAAGTTGAGTTTTGAATTGCAATTTACTTGCACTTGACAAGTTAAAATCGCAAACAATACTTAAACAAATGTTATATACTACTTGGGATCTGAGGAATTATAAATATTACTATTGTTAGAACTGTAGTATTGTCTTAAATGTACAAACAAACTTCAGCAGTCAATCTTAAAAACTCTAAACATTTCATTTATGCTTTGTAAATATTCCGTAAATCATTTGGGAGAAGAATTAATAGATTTCCTAAAAATTCTCTGAAACGGAGACAAGTGATAATAAGGAAACAATATATTAGGGTTATTCACGAGTTCGAGTAACGCGCTAGGTAACCGAGTAACGTATTAAAAGTGCAACGCAGAAACAACAAAATACATGTCCAGTGATGCGTTGCAATGTTACTACGTTAGTCAAGCATTTGGTTATTGTTTCTAAATTACAATATATGTAATATGAGCCTTCATAATTAAAGAAGAAAAATAGGCTACTGCAGTATATAGAGGGCCTATTTGAACTGAAGAGGGCTGTGGCACAAATTCGCCACCCCAACTCAATCTTAAACCATATATCTTACACTATTTTGTTTTTGACTGCGCAGTGAGATGCTAAGTTAATAATACTTTGATGAAATCGATGTTAATTTGATAAAATTAAGCGATGATCAATAGTTTATAATCTACATTAATAAATTGTTAAGACCTCATTACTTTAATATATGCATTAATATCTAAGTTCAGTTTTTGGGTTAGTCCCCAAAACTGCGGTCACATTATACTTTCGTTTTCATAATTTCAGATTGTTTCAGATTGTCAATCAGAACTTAAGGTACGTAATGAACGAAAGGTAATGAAGAATTTTGATGAATTTGATGCACTTTCTTGTCTCACATAAGAACAACTACGCCAATTTGAGATTTTGAGTATTTCAAAGGTCATATCATCGAATCGTAGTCTTCTGCTTTGTTCCGTTAGCTTTTTGTGGAGAATGGGGCATTAAATAAACCTATTTGATATTTGAATTATATATAGAAAACTCTATCTATAAGTAATTTTATTATAATCTCTTTAGGTAATGGAAAGAATTGCTAATACCTTTTCAATATAAATCGGACTATTTACTTACTTATTCATTGGAAACTTAATTGATTTGAAATATATAACTCATGTATTGGTCATAGAGATTTGCATTACCTTCATACATTACTTAAGTATAGAACATATATCACATTTTACATGTATATTATTAGAATTTTATAACCATTATTGTTCTTATAAATCTTTAGTGGAAATAGTTTCTTAAGCGGTGCAATGTTTCATACTTACATTCATGAGGAAACATATGCAAGATATTATATGATATATATATAGGAAACTATTACCAAACCACTTAATTCAATCACATCTAAAATGAATAAATAGTGTATCCTTAGAATTTCGTTATACAAAATTATTTCTTAAAATTTTTACCAAAAGTACAACTACCAAAGTAAGAAAAATATTAAACTGGATATGTACCAAACTCGTGACACAACAACCCATCACCAGTCAAACTTTGCATCGTTTATTCTTTTATTTCCTTTCAAATTGCCATCCCAACACTGAAACAAATTGTCGCATTGAAATAGAAACGGATGTACACATAAAACGGAAACAAAATTCAATTATTTCGTTTCAACTTTATTTATATTCGCAACTTTTGTTTATTTCTCACACTTTTCAAAGGAAGAGAACGACTTAAATTAACTTAATAAACGAATTCATACTGCCACTGCCGATTGCCGTTGCCATCGCCGTTGCCGTTGCCGTTGCCATTCATCCTGCAACTTCACGTCAGCATCCAGCCTGAGATCGGATGTATCCATGTACATTATAACAGTGGAGTGGTTGTTGTTCTTTAATTTTTAACTTTTGAAATTAAGTTAAATGAAATCATTCTTTGAATAGATTTGTATTTGTGCGTAATTTTATTAAATGTCAACGTGACACTTTGAAATAAAATTTTCTATTTGTTTCAACTTCAACTATACAACCACAATTGTAAGGAAGATTCAAAATTTTAATGCAAAAACTGAAGAAAAACTTTGTTAAGTTTGCGTAAATTACTGCAATTTTTATTTTAACAAAATTATAAGTAAACTTGCTTTGGTGAAATTTTACAAGATTTGAATTATTACGAATAAGTAGTATTCAATCACTTAGCAAGAGTTCAAATTGAAGTATATAGATGCTATTTTGAATCAATTAATTAGACAGTAACTGGCGTACTGAATACTGCCTTCATAAAAAACTAGAAGTCTTGGAGGTACAAGTCATTAATGTAAAGATACTTAGAAAAATCCAACAAGAAATGACCTTCTAAGAATGATCATTTTTAAGATCATTCTAAGAAATCAAGTTTACCAAAATACAAAACTTACCACAAGTAAGCGCAGTTCTTATAAAAGATAGAATAAGTGTACTACAAAGACAACCTTTCATCATCATCATTACCAATTTCTGTATCTCCCATTGGAGTATAGAATCTCAAAAAATTTGAATGACCTGAATATATCCGCAATTTAATCAAACTGCGGACAAATAGATATACAACACATGTTCAAGAAAAAGATACGCAGATGTATCGAACAACGTAAGCAACATATGCAATTTTCTGAATATTCACAAACTTGCAGTTCATGCATTTAATTAAATACTGAAGAGGCACTATGCCCTTGCATCGATGCTCCAGCGAATTCCTGTAGGTGGGCTATACAAAATTTTCCGCGATGAAGAGGAGATAGAATTTTTCAAATACTTTCTCTATACTTATACAGGACTATCAAGGAAGCAACTTCAATGTTCTAGAAACCGTTTTTTTCTCTCATCTCACGGAAATACGAAAGTGGACTTGTCGGCTCTGGTAATCTTCATCTAAAGATCCAATGGCTTCATAAAAACAACACACAAAGAACACAGCAGTTTCTGTTACTCGCCTCTCCCATGCCAGTCTGAGGGTATCATATGAAGTGGGAAATTCAAAGATGTTAAATTACTTTTTAAATTTTACTTACCAATTTTACTTAAAATACTCTTCACAAAATATATGCAAAAATTAGAAGCTAGTTAAGATTTTCAACAATTTTCCATCCTATCCATAATGCCATAACCCATCCTTCATACTGTTCCAAACCATGTTATCTATTAAATATATTCTTGAATTACAAAACTTTGTGTATTGACTTACCTTAATTAACTCTTCCACACTTCCTGTGAAAAGTCAATATTTTGTAGTGTCTGATAAAAGTGAGTCCTGTTGACTTTTGGTAAATCGACAACAGTCCACAAAATCATGAAATTCCATTGAAATTGAAGGCAACTTTGTGGTATCATTTGAGTTATTCACTTCTAGATTGATACTCTAAACTATGCTGAATTGATTACATCTACGGAATTTGTGTTTCTAAACAATTTATAATTAATACTCTTCAACTTCATATATTTTATTTAATTTTACTATTTGGATTTCCGTATGGTGAATACTGAAACACGAATTGTGGCTTTGAAATGATCCTTTCGACACATCCGGTTACACTCACTTAAAGCTGCATTTATTTACACTTTCTAAGAATTT